GGCAGAAGGATTGCTTGAGCCCAGGAGTTTGAAGTTGCTGTGAGCTAGGATGATGCCATGGCACTCTAGCCTGGGTAACACAGTGAGACTTTGTCTCCAAAAAAAAAAAAATAATAATTCTAAAAGGCAAACTGCATCTCCTCAAGTGAGTGCTAAAATTAAGGGTAGATAGTTTGAGGGCATAATTTCACTTTTATTTTCACTCACTGATTTAATTATGATTCCTCATAAAGCAGTTAGGAAAATTAAATAGCCACATGAAGATCAGTCTTTTCTCTATGATAAATTACTAATCAGCAATAGGAAACAACTGTTGAATGAGTTGCTACTAATGTTCTAATCAGAGTAAAACAACTTGACAGACAGAGGAAGTTGCTTTATTAAATGCAGTTAATTACCAGGAAATTAAGTCTCAGTGAGTAGAAAAAGACGTAGAGTATCACTAAATACCCAGCAAGACAGATTCAGCATGAGAAATCTTGAATCCGTCTCTTTAGCTGTCAGTGCTATTCTAGCAAGCCTCCAATGTTTTAGCTTTCTCACTGGTCTCCAAAAGGAAGGAAAAGCCATTACCTAAGGATGTTGGGATGGGAGAGTCGATTCATGAGCTGCACTTCTTTCAACATGTTTGCCCGGTTGCTGCTCAACGTGTTCATTTTAAGAGCCATCACCTGACCAGAAGCTCGGTGGCGCACCTAGCAAATAAAACAAACCAAGAAAAGAGGGTCAAAGGGTAGCAGTTATACATAAGGTCAAAGTCTCCAAATGTAGAACATGCCAAGATATGTTAGTGCCAGTTTAGATAAAATGACATCCAATTACATTAACGTCTCACTTCCATTAATGAAGATGAATTTATTCTATCCAAGACCAAAATTGTTTCACATTGTGTTGACCAGAAAAACATCGTTAATAACATCTCAAGAAATCACATCTTTTTTTTAATACTTTAGGAAAAATATGCGGGAAAGTTTTTAGGCTGCTTCCTTATGACTGACATCAGTGAGTCTTACGATACCAACAGAAAAATTCCCTTCTGTGGAACTTTTAAGTGTGCACAAAAAAGATATATGCATAAGCCTTATATAATGCTTCATGAACTATAAAACTGTCTTTATAAGACACTAAACCTACATACTGAAAGTCTCCCCCAAGCCCCATAAAAATATATCTATAAGAAAAAAAGCATTGTATGTTAAACATAGAAAAAAGTCAGTGAAACTTTTATAGCTAATATTGTATTAACTCTACCCAAATAACATTATAATTATTTAAACATATTCAAGTTAAATACAACAAACACGGGCCACACCACTAGCACCATCATAGTGCACTGCAGCCTCTAACACCTGGGCTCAAGACATCCTCTTGCCTCAGTATGCAGCATGCCCACTAGCTACAAAAGTCTACTTCTAAAAGCATTCATCCTCTGTAGAATTCAATCTATTTTCCATGTGTAAATATTGTTTGATCATTTCGATGCACACTGCACAGGTTTAAAAAACATAATACTTTACTTGTAAAAAAAAAAAAAAAACTATGTTTTCACCCTCTAAATGTGGTCTCAGTAGTAGCAAAATGAGACTACCAGGGGAAATATTTTATCTTACTCAAAAGAAACTCCATTATTCACTGAGATGTGTGTGTTCCCTGCTGAGGAATTATGAATGAGGCAGTACAAAAATCTCACTACTTTCTGATTAAAAAAAAATTCACTTCAGAACTTGCGCAACAGAGAGGACTTGATATACAAAAATGTCATCATCCTATGAACTTTAGGAATATTATTTCAATATGTTATACTTGATCACATGTGAATTCCAATAGAAAATGTGACAACCTATTTCACTCTTTAACCTCCAGAAATTCCTTGTAATGACAATAGCCCCAGAAGTTTAATACAGCTTTTAAAACAGGACAGACATCACAGCTTATCTTAGAATTCAAAGAAATAATATTTTGGAGGCCATAAAGAAGAGGGGAAGTGGGATTGAGGCAAAACACTCAGAGCCACAGGAACCCTGATCAGAAAAACTGAGGTAGAGCACTGGCTGCCTCTCTCCTCTTCTAGATCACTGAGTGAGATTTGGAACCCAACTCTCTTCTCAGTGCATCAATGATTCTGTTGTCATGCACCTCGTGATTGATGAAAGAGAAGTAGCTTCCCTTTTCAGATCCTGCATGGATAAGTAAAAAGAAACATTTATATACAAAGAGCTCACTGACAGTATTTTTCCAATTCTATTTACAGACGACATCTGTGTTTTAATAAGAGCTCTCCATCTTTTTTTTTCTATTATCTGAAACCTATCATGCTAAGCTTTTATCAAAATGTCTGCTTTTAAGAAAGTTTGATATTAAAATAATGTGTGAAATTCAGAGATAGCTGCATTTCAGACTAATCAGAAAAAAACTCACTTCCTTAAGCAAGTGGACGAGATGTTGAACATGTACATAACTCACTGTATTTTATCCTTCATCTGTATAAAATATTCTTCCTCTTCTCGTCTCTTTTTTTTTTTTTGAGACAGAGTCTCATTCTTTTGCCTGGGCTAGAGTGAGTGCTGTGGCATCAGCCTAGCTTACAGCAACCTCAAACTCCTGGGCTCAGGTGATCCTTCTGCCTCAGCCTCCCAA